TCTCTCTCTCTCTCTCTCTCTCTCTCTCTCTCTCTCTCTCTCTCTCTCTCTCTCTCTCTCTCTCTCTCTCTCTTCTCCCTCCTTCCTCCTCTTTCGTATCTCTTCTTCTTCGAATCTGAGAGTGTGAGAGGTCATCGGTAGGTATTCAGGCAGAGGTTATGATGGGCGCATTGCCCAGGATCTGGTTCGACATTTCTGGGACAGACATTGATTGGACACTCGGCAAGGGACTATTTTTTGGACTTCGCTATTGCGATCTTGGTCTACTCCCTCGCCTCCTTCCTCCTCGTCTCGTCCCTCCCCCATCTCTCATCCGTGGGATCTCCCCATGTATGTGTGCGCAGGAGGGACCTTACTTCATGTGTGCGGTCCCTCCTCCCTCTCTCACATGTATGATGTGTGATGGATGTCGGGTCAGTACAGATCAGATCAGACCTTCTCTTTAATCTTCCGCTGTGCCATTTTGTGCCATCTGTATGTATTCGGAATGTACATTGCTTGTTGATGCTACGCTGACCTTGCCTTGTCCATTTCAGTCCTTTTCATCACATAGCGGATCCTTGGCTCCCTGGGCATTGTCCCGCTGGACATGCGTCACTTGTCTGGTTGGGAGCTGGTAGTGGAAGTGGCGCCATAGCTAGAGGTTGAGGAAGAGGGAGGAAGAAGAAAAATAACTCTGCGTAAAACAAAAAAAAAGAGCCCTAAAGGAGTAATTCATATACAGGCTGAAGCTTGAACTTTTTTTTATTCCTTAGGTTGAGATTCAAAAGATGAAGATAATATTATATTTTTTTGACTCCTGGATGTTTCAATAAAACTTTGTAAATAGTTGGTCTGTGGGTGTTGATAACATGGTTGGGATCCTTGGAAATTCGTGCTGTTGATTGACTTGGGGAGAGACGGTAATTAGAATCGATTTTCATTTCAATTCTATTTTCGGTATTTTTGTGCTTGCGCTGTGTATTCTTATCATCCGGTGTGGTGTGGATTGCTCCCTCCAAGGGTCACTTGTCATTGCACATGTGTATGGGAATGTGTGGTTACCATGTTGAATCTGGTTTCAATCAGGCACATAACAGCTTTCTGATGCGGGCAAAGCTGCACAGGCCCTTCTTGTTATCGTTAATCCTTAAACATCCTTAAGTGAATAGCGGTCCTCGCGTAACGCTCCCGCGACAGACCGCTCTACCCACTGTTGGGAAACGAAATGGGACAGGTAGGTGGGCCCAACAAACACCATGTATGTCTTTCGGGCCGGGCCGAACCGGTGAGCGTCGGCGATATCGTGGATCGGGCCTGTGCTGGACGGCCCGACGGCCGTTCGAATGTGGCCGGTTTTCCGGGTTCCGCCCGATAGAGCTTTCGAGAATCTACAGAGCTCTATCGGGCCGTTCATTTGGTTCGGGCCAGCCGCCTCCGCATTCGGTTCCGGGCTTCGCTTGAGAGAGAGAGAGAGAGAGATTCGACGTTCGACGTTCGGTCACAAGGGAGAGAGAGAGAGAGAGAGAGAGAGACGTGTGTACTGTCTGGGCGCGGAGGAGCGTGAGTGGCGTGACGAAGGGCGGCTGGAGAGGGAGCTAAAATGGCAGATCGAGGTGAGTTC